TTTCCCGCTGTAACCAGAGTCATTGAGAAAAGAAGATCAGCGTCTGCAGGGGTGGCCAGGGAATACTGTGTGTTCAGCAACAGGAGGCCAAACAAGGTGGCCCCAGTGGGTTCTTTCTGAAGGCACTCTGGGACCAGCCTGGACCAAAAGCCTGAGGTCCAACTCTGCCCTAGTCATGTTTATGACCTCAGACTGACCAGCTCACTTCTCTGGGTCAGGACCTTTAGATTTGCTATTTCCTTGTAGACTGGACAGTCGATTTGCTTGCCCAGCACCCATTCCCCGTGTTGTACAAATGACACCTCAGTCTTCCTTGGGGAACCACTCCTCCCCATGCGTGGACCACATGATTTAGATGGAGCTGATTTTTTGTTCGTTTGTGGTACGTGGGCCTCTCACTGTTGTGGCCTCTCCAGTTGCGGAGCACAGGCTCCGGACGTGCAGGCTCAGCGGCCATGGCTCAAGGGCCCAGCCGCTCCGTGGCATGTGGGGTCTTCCCAGACGGGGACACGAACCCGCGTCCCCTGCATCGGCAGACGGACTCTCAACCACTGCGCCACCAGGGAAGCCCTAGATGGAGCTGATTTTAACCCTGGTTCCAGAGATGGGCATGGAATGTAAGCCAATCATAGCATTGTACATCCCTTTCATCATAGTGATTGGCTCAGAGGTGGTCATGTGACCTGAAGAGGGCCAATCAGAGCTCGGCCCAGACATGGAGAACAAAGGAAAGAGAGGAGCACTTACTTTCACTGAGGTTGCTCAGAAGACTAGGACCCGAGTTTGGAGCTGTGCTGGTGGAGATTTTACCATCCTTGAGAAGACCTTCACTGAGAATGGAGTCAGCATAGAGGAAAGGAGAACCAACAGATGGAGTTAAAGAGAGCCCTGACATCATTGTTGGAGCCCCCGGATCCAGCTGTGCCTGAGGTTATCATTGGGCTTCCCAGTTATGTGAGATAACAAGTCCCCCTTTTGCTTCAGCCAGTTTGAATTGTCACTGTTACCAAAAGAGCACTTATCGATACCCTCCACCTGATTCCCCTTGTCTCCTTTACCTTGCTTAAGATCTACTTACCCTAAAATTGTCAGTGTAAATGTTATGTGCTTCTGCAGCTTGGCCCTGGGGTGTGGGCAGAAGTGGAAACTGTAACAGGAGGAGGAACTCACTGGGAAAAGAGAGGACCCTGGAGAAATGTCAGAGGGACCCCAAAAGTCAGCCTCTACCCCTGAGCTTCGCCTTTCCATTTCTTCATTCCTTCCTTCGCTGTCAGATATGACTTGAGCTCCCTCCAAGCTATATGCCATGTGCTGAGAACATAGCAGTGAACAAGACACACCACAATTCCTGTCCAGGAGCTTACATTCTACTAGTCTATTTGAGGTTTGACTTTTAAGAGTTGTGTTCTTCACAATCACCTAAACCAATTGGTGAACAAACAAACAAACAAAATCTTTTTTTGGTTTCTTTTAGTGTGCCCAAAGTAGTCTAATTTTCCAAACCTTAAAAAAAAAAAAAAAAAAAAAAAAGGAAGAAAGACGTTTACTAAACAGCAAGGTAAACAAAAAAGAAACACAGTACAAGAAGCATGAAATGAGTCACATCTTAGAAGTTCTTCTCTTCTCCTTCAGAGCCAGCAAGCTTCCAGCACTTCCTATTGTACTGTTACCTACCTGGGTTCTTGGACTCTTTAATCAAGAGGAATTGATAAGAGGCCACATGAGGAATTCAGGCAAGGTTTTACTGGGGCCCCTGCTGCAGCATGAGAGAGCGAGAACAAGCAACAGGTGCCCTACCTAGCTCGATCCCTCAAACAGGGTGAGGGTAGAGACGGATCTGTGTGTCGGGCGGCAGGCGTGGCTCAGGTGGTCTGCCCATCCCCTTGGTGGTGCCGTGTGCAGAGATCATGAGCAGTACCCTGCTTTTGCTCTGGGCACCTCGGCACCTTGGAAGGGCAGTTGGGTTTGGCCTTTCTGTATCTTGTTCATGATTTGCCCCAACTGCGCATGCACGCAGTTATTTTAGTCCCTTATAGTTTCTTTGTATTCTGTTGCTCGAGGAGATGTTTGTCCAGGTGCAAGCACTGCAGCAAAGGCCCCAGGTCCCAGGTCCCAGCCTGTCTTGGTACAACCTGAGAAAGCCACCTTTTAGCAATTGGGTCTCTCTCTGGTCCCACTCCTCTTGGCTCCCACCAACCCTGGAAGGGCCCAGAGGAAAGAGGAGGCTGGCCGATGCCCAGGCAGACAATCCAGCCCCGACCAATCTCAAGGTTGACGTCTGGGGGAGTATTTTCCCTCCAGGGTCCCTGCTAAAGGGAGTCTCAGTTTCTTTCTTCACATCTCCCTGCCTGACTTGTCATTAAATTAAAAGCGTTCATATTTAAATTCAAAGCCCCTTTGTAACTCCTGGAGAAGGTATTGACCATGATCTCTTGGATCCAGTGTAGAGCTCTAAGCCTGAGGAGGCCCAGTGTAAGCCCTGGCCATGGCCAAGCGTTTCTTCTAAGCTGATTGAGGTGGCAGGGTTCTTGGGACATTTGTTTCTTATTTTGATATGGACCCAACCAGGATCACAAGCCCCCAAGGCTACAAAGAACCTGTGGTCATAATTATGACAATGAGAACTGTCTTTCCTGAAACACAGGGTTTCCATTTCTGCCTTCTTGACACTTAAAATAGTTTTTATCAAAAGCTGTTCTAAGGGGAACCTGGTGTTTTACATCAGGGGGAAAGAATGGATATCCTGCCAAATCCAGAAATGCTTGTACTCCATCCTTGGTTTATCCCATTCTCACTCCTGCTTCTGTACTCATTTTGGTCCTAAGGGGGGCTCTTCTTCTGAAGAAATAAGACCATCAGCCTGGGTAGAAACAAACCCAGCAGACATATATGCCAGCCCCTCGCCGTCGGGCCCTCCTGACTAGCAGCAGGCCAGGTGGGGACACCCTGTGAAGCCGTGCTGGTGCCCCTGGCTTTGCAGCCCAGCCCACACCTGATGCCTGCACATCTCAACTGCTGGACCACAGTCTCACAAGCCTCGGTGAGGTATGCTGAATAGAGAGCACTGAAATAATTCTGAGAATGGTAAGTAGATCTTTTTTCTGGCTTTCTCTGAAAGACTATTTCAAATTTGGTTTATCAGATGTAATTCTGGTTTTATCCAGAAGTACCAGCTTACCTGACCAAATCACCTGGGTGAGAGTATTGAGTTTTAGAAGGAACTGGATGGCTTCTTCCCACCATCCTCTCCTGCCTCAGACATTTTAACACAGTGACCTTTGCTCTCCCTCTTTAGGGCTTCTGTGTGTCCATGGGGGGCCAGGTATTTTCCAGGCTTTCCGTGGTAAATGTTAGGTTACTCACTCTCTTTCCGCTGTAATGGAAAGAGTTTTCTTCTGAGAATGTAATGTTGCCTGGAAATAACAAGGAGAAAAAGGAGGAGGAGGGGGAGGGGAAATGAGAGGAGGATGAAGAAGATAGAAGGAAATTAGAGGACGAGATGGAGGAAGAGGGTTTTACAGGCACTGTTAAAACTTTTTGTTTTGAGATAATCATAGATAAACATGCAATTGTAAGAAATAATGCAGAGATCCCTTGCACCTTTCACCAAGCGAATGGTAACACCTTACATAACTATAGCACAATATCACAACCAGGAAATTGACAATGATACAATCCACAAATCTTATTCAAAATTTCACCAGTTTTAATGCACTCGTGTGCGTGTGTGTTTTCATTGCAGTTTTATCACTTGTGTAATTCTTGTGACCACCACTAACCTGTTCTCTATCTCTAGAAATTTGTCATTCCAAAAATCTAATATAAATGTAATCTTTTGAGATTGGCTTTTTTCACTCAACAGAATTCCCTGGAGATTCATCACGTTGTTATGTGCATCGCGAGTTCCTTCTTTTTTATTGCTGAGTAGTATTCCACAGTATCCATATCCCAGTTTGTTTAACATTCACCTGTTGAAGGGTATCTAGGCTGTTTTCAGATTTCAGCTACTACAAATAAATTTGCTATGAAAATTGAGGTTAAGGTTTTTGTGTGAACATATGTTTTCATTTCTCTAGGACAGATGCCCAACGTGCTTTTGCTAGGTGGTATGGTAACGGTATGTTCAGTTTTATAACAGACTTCTAGAGTGGCTGTACAATTTTCCATTCCCACCAGCAACATGTCAGTGATCCTCACTTGCATTTGGTGATGTCTTTTTTTAATTTGAGTCAGTCTCATAGGTGTGTCGTGATGCAGTTTGCATTTCCTTAATGGCTAATGTTAACATCGTTTCATGCACTTATTAGCCATTGTTACTGAATGCAAGTTCATGCACCCGACACACAGTGAGGCTAAACAAACCAAAACGTCGAAGGGTGGAGCAGAGAAAGGTGTATTGGAGGGCCACGCAAGGAGATGGCTGGCTTATGTCCAAAAAACCCCAAACTCCCTGAAAGTTTTCAGCAAAGCATTTTTTTTTTACATCTTTATTGGAGTGTAATTGCTTTACAATGTTGTAATGTTTGTGTTGGTTTCTGCTGTATAACAAAGTGAATCAGCTATACGTATACATATATCCCCATATCCCTTCCCTCTTGCGTCTCCCTCCCACCCTCCCTATCCCACCCCTCTAGGTGGTCATAAAGCACCGAGCTGATCTCCCTGTGTCATGTGGCTGCTTCCCACTAGCTCTCTATTTTACATTTGGTAGTGTATATATGTCCATGTCACTCTCTCACTTACCCTTCCCCCTCTCTGTGTCCTCAAGTCCATTCTCTACATTTGCATCTTTATTCCTGTCCTGCCCCTGCCCCTAGGTTCTTCAAAACCTTTTTTTTTTTAGATTCCATATATATGTGTTAGCATACGGTATTTGTTTTTCTCTTTCTGACTTACTTCACTCTGTATGACAGACTCTAGGTCCATCCACCCCACTACAAATAACTCAATTTCGTTTCTTTTTATGGCTGAGTAATATTCCATTGTACATATGTGCCACCACTTATCCATTCATCTGTCGATGGACACATAGGTTGCTTCCATGTCCTGGCTATTGTAAATAGGCAGCAAAGCATTTTTAAAGGCCAGATGAGCGAGGGGCATGGTTGGTTGTTGCACACTTCTTGGTGTAGGAATCCTTTGTTCTTGCAGCTGTCCACCTAGGTCAGGTCACAATGTTCCTGTAAACATCCAACAAGACAAATGTTATTCTCTGTTCTGCACTTTTTATCTCTATTTGAATGGAAAAGTGTTATACCCTTAAACGTCAGAGACTTGAGAATGGGCTATCCTGTATATTTCAGTCTACAGGCAACATTCTAAACTTGAAGCAAAAGCAACAGAATACAAACATTACAGTAAAAGAAACAGACCTAATATGGAGTCTGGTTTGTTCTTCCCTATCACACCATCTGTATATCCCCTTCATTGAAATGTCTGTTCACGTCTTTTCTCCATTTTCTAATGGGATAGCTTTTTCGTTTGTTTGTTTTTACTGTTGCATTTGGAGGGTTCCTTAGATATCTAGAAAATTAGCACTTAGTCCAATATGTGCTTTACAAATGTTTTCTCTTCATCTGCAGTTTGACTTTTCATCCTCATCCCAGGATCTCTCACACTGTGAAACTTTTTAATTTTGAGTAAGTTCAATTTCTCAACTCTTCCTTTTGTGGGTTCTGCTTTTGGTGTTAAGCCTAAGAACTTTTTGCCTAACCCTAGGTTCAGAATATTTTCACCTATTCTTTTTTCTAAAAGTTTTATAGTTTTACATTTTACATTTAAGTCAATGATCCATTTTGAGATAATTTTTTGATAATGTGAAGTTGAGGTTGGTTCATGTTTTTGCCTATGGGTGTCCTTTTAGGTATATTTTTAAAAGGTTAATCCTTTCAGCAACCATCTGAAATGAGTATTGTATTATATTATCATCCCATTTCACAGATGGAGGAACCTAGAGAGATGTGGTAATGTGACCAAGGCCCGACTGCTGACAGGTGGTAGGAAAAACGCCATGGTTTGAAATCAGGTCTGCCTGACTCACATGCTCTTGCAGTTAAGCCCTGCTGCCACCGCCTCATTCCTTCCCTTTCTTTCTGGGAGAGCCTTCCTTCCTGGGCAGGTGTCCCAGTTTCTTGAACTCATTCCTTCATCTTGACTAACCTTGCCCTCACCTCGGTTCATGGGCTACCAGACGTTGGAGCCTGCCACAACTCATCCAGGTGTCCTCCTGTGACATGTTTGCAGGGTGGAGAATGGGGACAGATTGGGGAACTTCCCTGTATGCAAAGAGCTTGTCATTCTGGTCTGGGGAAAGGCTCATACTGGATTTCAGCATCTTTCAAAGTATTGCAGAGCTGCACTACCAACTTGCTGGTCTGGGGGTGGCAGGCCCTCCCCCAGAACAATCAGACACCAAAATTCATTTAATAATTCTGAGTCCAGAAAATTTTCATCCCTGATCTGCCAAAGTAAAATATATTGATAGAGTCAACAGGAAGGACTCGGAGCATCTTGGAGCAAAATTCCTATGGTTAGAACATGTTTCTTGCTCTTTCTGGTGGGACTGGATCATGGTCAGACTACCCTAGTAGTTCATTTCCATTCATCACACCCATCCCCGTTCATGGGTAGGAGGGCAGTGAATGTGGAGCTTTCCTCTCCAGCTCTCTGCTCTCCACCCACTGGCTGTGGACTTCCTAGGCAGGCAGGACCTAGGAACTTCTGCATTCAGACCACTGGGGAAAAAAAATCAGCAGTCTATAGATTGTCGTTGTTCTTTCCCAGATCCCTAAGTATCACCCTACCTATTAATGAGGGATCCAGGAACTCTTTGCCTCTGTGACTTTACATTCAGAAAAAGCCCCTCCCCTTACTTCTCTCAGAGTTTTTCCAAAGACTACTAGGCTTTTGTCCTGGCCCACTTTAGAGAGCCCAGCTACAGGTATGTATCTATTTTGTAGTTATAGGTACATGCACATATCTATTTTGCCAGATTCTTCAAAAGCCTCGGAGGTGCCTGATCCCTCAGCTTGGCTGTTTCAACAGATAGGTCAACAGTAACACATGCCAGGTCCTTTGTGTCCTTCCGCCCACCCTGTAAAGAAATGAAGAAGAGTTTTATTCGGGATTCTGACATCTGCCTTGAACCCTGGGTATCTCCTCCCACGGGGACGATTCCCCCAGCACTCCTGTGACGGTCTCTGCAGAGGGCCAATGGCAGCTTCTGGTTTCTTGCTCTCCCTAGAGAGCCACTTCAAGTGTAACTGGTCCAAGGGGAATTTCCTTGATGGATTCAGGCCATTTGACCCTGGTATTTCCCCCAGTGGCCTAGATAGATCATGTTGAGGGTCAGAGATCAGAGTCAACCTTCCTTAGGTCCAGTGGGCCACCTTCCCAATCTCCATGCTCACCCACCCAGCAGAAGCTGAGAAGCATTGTCCTTGGTCTCCTGATCTCCTTGACAATAATATCCTCTGTCATCTTCCAAGCTTCCCTGGGGGAGGGTCTGAGACTTGTCAGGAGTAGGCAGGGCTGCTCCAGGGGCAGTAAGTTCTGTCGGGCCCTGTCTTGTTCCAACCAAAGCAAGCCAGGGCCTCCCTCTGACATTGTCTTTGGGGGTATGTCTCCTGCTCTGGAACAGTTTCCATCGCCTCCACCCTCTTCCAGGGAGCATGACCCCCTTCCCTCCTTTTCCCCCATATCCTTTAAAGGCTCCTGTTATGCCCAACCCTTTCCACAGGGACCAAACAGACCTGGGTTTGAATCTCAACTCCCACTTACTAGTTATGTGGCCATTCACTACTTACTGTCTTCAAGCCTGGTCCCCCCATCCCTCACAAATGGGGAGATATTAACCTCACGCTGTTGTTGTGGATTTAAACAAGATCATATCTATAAAGTTTGTACAGCAGGTAAAGGAACTACTGACCTTGGAACAAAGTTAAGGCTCAATAGTGGCGCTGTCTCCGGGCCAATCTTCAGTTTTCACTCTGCCCACCAGAATTCATCCTGGGGAAGGCAGGTAAATTGTTATGGGAAGCGCAAGTGCCCCAACTCCCACAAGGGGTCCCTGCTCACCTATCATGGCCATGCTGCTCCCCAGGAGTCTGGTAGGAGTCAGGATATAGGGCTCTACAGGTTAGGGCCAAAGGCAAGGCATGTCCTCCTCTGGTAGGCAGGCTCCTCAAACTTGAGGATGGTCACCTGGGGGTTCCCTGTGGACTTTGGCTCACCTGCCCAGCTGCAGGTGAGAAGTGACCTACCCTCCACTGCTCTGTGACAGTTCCTTTAGCAGCACCTGCCCTGGAATGGCCCTGGGAAAGCCACCTGTTCAAGCACTTATAATTTTCTCTGTTCTGGGGGTCTCTCAGGTGAGAGGGCAAGTCCATGGACCCAAAACCCAGAAACACCCCGCGCCCCGCCCAGGTTCAGCACCAGGAAGCTTTCCAGTATCCTCACTTGTACCCCCAGACAAGGACCAAGGGACCTCCCACAGTGGATGCCAGGAAAGAGGAAGGAAGTAGGGAGTTCGGAGAAAGGAAGGGGAGGCCACCCAGATGTGCTTCCGCAGGACACCTCCCTTCCCTCTGCCACTGGCTAACTTTACCCACCAGGACAGCTTCACATCTGTCCAGAAGCCACGTTTGCCTCTGCAGGTGCATCTTCTCCCCTCCTGCCCCGAGTCTCCGCACTGAGCCCTTGACCAGATTCCTCCACAGCCCCACCCTGCTCTGTGTTCGTCTCCTCCCAGGCTGCCCCAGTCATGCTCCAGCTGCTCCCTGAGCCTCATCTCTGGCCCCTGGCAACAAGCCACCCCAGTAACTGGGCTAAGGAGTTCACCTCCCCCGTGGTCAACCCCAGACCCAGCACTCATCCCTCTCAGGTTGGGGCCAAAAGCAGTGCCAAGAAGGGGAGCTCCCGCCTCTCACCCCATGGGTCCTGCTGACTCCTCCTTGGTGACCTTTTGCATGCAGAGACTGACTGGCAAAGAAACAAACAAAAAGCCATCAACAACAAAGGAAGCGTTAAGTCAGCCAAGCCAACTGATTCAGACCAGAAAATCCGCATTACAACGTTTTACTCCAGACTTGCTATGGAGGCCTGGGTTCCAGGCCCCTAGCTCTACAATGGAGACCCCTGGCAGAGCCCTGAACCTTTTATAAACCCTCAGGACTTACAAGTTGAATGAATAAATGAATCTACTTCCGCGTAGAGTTAGGTCCAAATCAAAGGGGGCCAACTGCTCTGGCCAGACTCCTGTTTCTAATTTCAGGACACCTTCCACTCCCAGCACCTACCCAGGATCAAGCTGGGGGGAAAAAAATCACAGGCCGAGACTGAGGAAGGAGAGTGGGGCGGGGCAGAGTCTTTTGGGGTGCTGCGCAGAGACGAACCCTCTTTCCGGTCCGCGCCCCCATCGCTGCCCGCGGCCTCAGGGCTCACGCTGGCTTTCCCCGCCCTCGCAGGGCTGAACCAGTTCCTCCCCGCTCGCAACCCCACCCTCCTGGAACCTGCCTCGCAGGAAGCGGAGGGTGCAGCCCGGCCGGCCGGGAGCGCGCGGCGCTTGGAGGGCCCGGGCTGTGCCGACCCCCATGGCCGCGGGCGTGGAGCAGCGGCTGGGCGGCCTCCCCGTCTTCACCCGCGACGACTTCGAGGGCACCTGGCGCCCAGTGGCGAGCGGCGGCTTCAGCCAGGTGTTCCAGGCGCGGCACAAGCGCTGGCGGACCGAGTACGCCATCAAGTGCTCCCGCTGCCTCCAGCCTGACACCATCAGGTACCCGCCTGCCTCCCCGCTCCTTTTGCGGAGGGAAGCCCGAGGCCCGGGGAGCTCCCGAGGGAGGGGCGGCCGGGTTGCGGCTGAGAATTGTCCTCTCCACTTTTCTAAACTCTGTCCTGTGCCCTGAGCTCCCCAGGCACAGCCCTGTCTGTTTACGGCTCTGAAATAAACTTGGCTCTGTTTGTGGAATCAAACCTATGTGTGAAATCCACAGAGGTCAAAGGTGAGCAGGAACTACCCTCCAAATACGCCTTTGTTCCATTCAACCTCCCAACCTGGTCGCGCCTCCTTCTTTCCAGCCTCACCTTCCTTCCAGGTGTCGGCTTGGTGATGACTGCTCTGGATGACCCTCTGCCACCCTCCTACCCACCCCCTAACTCGCAGCGCAGGCAGGGCTGCGCTTGCTCAGAGCCTGTGGCACTTGGCTCAGTGATGCTCAGTGACCTGGGGGGAATCACAGGTCCCACACCAGGGGCAGCTCCTGTCTGGTGTGGTCCCAGCCCAGCCCGTGCAGGCTGATGGGGGCTTGCAGGGGGTGGTGGTGGAGGCTGCCCAGCCTGCTGGCCTGAGAGCCTGTCCAGCCCTCACACCGGCACTGCCAGCAGGTCAACCCTGGGATGCTGCTGTCTCCGTCCTTGTTTTTGTCTCTGGCTTCTCCCAGGTCCCATTATACGTACTATGACCACTCCCTGGCAGGCCTCCTTTTCCCTCTTACTACCTCTTTCCCATTGCTTCCACCCATCTCTGCCTTCCCATTGCTTCAACCCATCTTTGCTGGTACTGGCTGTGCCCTCGCCCCTCGTGCAGCCATGGAGACTCTGGGATGTGAAGTCTGAGATGATAACCATGTCCTCCTCCCAAGCCTCCTGGGACATCACCTAGAGCGCCTTGGGGGTGCAGGGAGCAACTCCTATTGGCATCTTTTCTGGTCATTCTCTGTGGTCACTATGCAAGCTCCCAAGACACAGCCTCCGGTCCCACACACCCAAGTCCCTTCTCTCACTCCCAGACCCCCACCTGCTTAATGAATGAGGGCAAAGTGAGATAGCCCCAGACTCACCCACCTTCCTCCCTCAACATCCTGGCTTGGGAGTAGAGTCAGGTTATTCTAGGATCTATTCAAATCATTTACAGCCTTTGAAGCATTGACAAGACTACTCATGAGACATTGACAGTAACTCCCATCTCAATTCCCTTCCCAATTCCAGGAATCCTTGGGTGGAAGGGACTAAGGGATTTACGGTAATCAATGCCTGCCACATGTGGAGTGCTATACGAGGAGTTTCATGAGTATGACTTCACTGAATCCTCCTTCCATCATCTCAATTCATTTGTCCTCCTGATGAATGTTTATTGCTCACCTACTATGTGCCAGGCTCTGTGCTGGACCCTGAGATATAAAGATGAATGCCACAGATATAGCCCTCTAAATATTCTCCAGGAGCTTGCAGATAGGGGAGAAAAGACATTAATCAGATAACCCCACGTGTAAATGTAAGTGTGCTGCTGTGAGAGGTGTAAGAGAGGAGAGAGTTGTGGTTCCATGAAGGCTTATTATTGGAGTCGGAGATCAGAAAAGGCTTCTCTGAGGAAGATACACTTGAGCTGAAATATGAAAGATGAGTCTGAGTTAAGTGGGTGAAGAGAGGAAAGCTTTCCATGTTGAGCTTAAGGTGCCTCTAAGCAGCCAAGAAGAATTGTCAAGTAGACTTCAGAGTAAAGCTGTGAGCTAACAGTATTAAAATTTGTGAATCATTTGTTACGGGTGTATTTGAAGCTAGGACATAGATGACGTTCACTCATTCTAGGCACTAAGTGAACGAAACAAAGTCTCTGCCCTGGTGGAGTTTATAGTCTAATGAAGGAAGACAGAAAGCTAACGAACAAGCAAATATTTTTATCTGTATCCCTTACAAACCACCTGGCATTTTCTTTGGTTAAAATACCTGAGGAGAGTTGAGTAGTCTGATCTTCCAAAAAGAAATTTTGATCTTCCAATAAATAGTAATTTGTGGGCTTTTTTGCCCAAAATGTTAAGATTTTATTTACCAAGCTTCTTTGTTGTACAGAAAGGAAAAATGCTGTTACAATCTCAGTGTAAGTGGTAGCCACACATGGTTGACTTACCAATCGCAGCTCTCCACCCTACCGCAAGGGTCTTACACGAAACTCTGACAATGCTTATAATTTTGTCGTCGCCTATAAATTTGTTATAATGCTCGGTGGTAGATTTCCGAGAGGGACTAAATGGGTGGAGGCAGAATGTCACAGGAACTCTTCTTTGGTTCTTTGCGTGGGTGGGTGTCCTAGGGTTTGTATCACAGCTACCTTAAAAGAAAAGCTACCAACTCCATTTGAGCAGTCCAGCCAATACGGAACTCAAGAACAAATAAAGCAAGGTAGGGTTTTGTGCAGGTTGTTTGGAGTCTTTCCTTCAGCTTTCCTAGTTTCTTCCTCCCCTTCATCCTCCTCATTTTCTTCATCTTATCACCTTCTCCGTCACATCCAAATTCTCCCCTCCCTTCACTTCATCCCCTTCCCCTTCTGCATCTTCCTGTTCACCGTCAGACTCTCCCTTCTCACTGTTTTTCTCATCTTCCTGTGGGCATCTTCTCCTCCTTCATTCTCTTCTGGGGGGATAAGGATTGATGGAGCAGGGTTGCTATTTTCTATAGGCTTGAAATCCTTCCTAATTAAGTACTATTTGAGAATAAAGATTTGAAGCAAAGAAAGAGCAAACCATGTGGCTCTCTCAGGCTCTCTTAGTGTTCTAGGCAGAGGGACGAGCAAATGCAAAAGGTCCTGAGGAGGGAACAAGCTTGACATGGTGGGGCAGGTCATAGAGGGCTTTGTAGGCCATTGTGTGGTGGAGGGGAAGAGAGAGAAGCAAAGGCACCAGTTAGGAGGCTTGGGCCAAGATGCCAGTGGATAGAGGTGGTCACCAGTGGTCAGATTCTTGCTATATTTTGAAGGTAGAGCTGACGGAATGTGCTGAGGGGCAGCTTGTGGGAAGGAGAGGAAGAGAGGAGTCCAGGATAAGCAAGATCTTTGAGGGCTAGAGGGATGGAGGCCCCGTTCACTGAGATGGAGAAGGCTGAGGGGGGAGCGGGTTTGAGGGGAGAATCAAGAGTTCAGCTTTAGACACGTAAAGTGTCGAATACCCAGTTGGAGATGCTGAGGTTGCCTAGAGACAGAGTACGGAATGAGAAGAGGAAAGAAGAGGGCCCGGGACTGGGCCTAATGATCAGGTCACACAGTAGGAGCCCGCAAAGTAGGCACTGACCCTACACTGAGAACGAGAAAATTGCTTGTAGGCTCCAGCAACATGGGGGTCATCGGTGACTAGCAACAGCCTGTCAGTGAGGTATTAAGACCATAAACCAGATGAAAGGGGATGGGGGGAGATGAAGAAAAGAGAAAGACAACAGGTGTAGCAAACACTTTCAAGAAGTCGGGGTGTCCAGGGGAGTTGTGCAAGTTACTGTTGTTCCCATTTTACAGTTAAGAAACTGAGGCCCAGAGAGTTTGCTTGTTCAAGGTCATACAGAGAATAAGGTGAAATTGGGATTCGAAAGCAGGGCAACGTGATCCCAGATCCCTTGCTTTTTCCACTTCATGACAGGTGTCTTCTCAGTTCTTGTGACTTCAAAAGTACAAGAGGAGACAGATAAAAGAAAAAATATTGCAGAGGTTTGAGGGGGAGAGTCCTTGAACAGTAAAGCAGTAAAGACAAGAATGGCAGAAACCAGGACTAGCCAACCTGTCCAGATGCGAGGGAGAGCAGGTGCTTTTCCCTGGAGCAGAGGAGTCTCTGGCTGGCTTCCCAGGGAGGCCCTGTGAGCACATTTCCAGCAGCCTCTGACTGCAGTGCCAGTGCAGCTTTGCAAATACTCTGCTTTTTAAAGATGTCATTTCTCCTCAATCTTCATCCCCGCAATCCCAGAACAATTTATAACAATTTGCATATTTGCTGTTTTGTGGCACATACAGTGAAAAGAGTGAAAAGTTTGCAAATGCTTATTTTGTAAGGCTTTCCTTTAAGTATTGACTTCTGTTCAGTTCAACAAAGATGCCTTGTGCTGTACGTGGCCATGTGCTGTGGGGAGTACCAAGATGAAAACTTATACTTCATCTCCAAAATGGAATCCCGTGCAGCCATTACCGAGCTTGCTTTGAGAGAATAACGATGCAGGAAGTGCTCCGCTACACCAACAGGGAAAAGCAGATCGCAGAACAGCCCACACTATGTGATGGCAAGAGGGAGTGGAGGAGAAAGGAGTGACAGGGAGGGAGAAAAGGAGAGAGGTTCCTTGAAATGTATTGTAAAAGGATACGCTAAATTATTAAGAGGCCAACTCTAGAGGGTTGGGTTAGTGATGATTTAATTATTATTACAATTTTTATTATTTTTTTTTGGCTGTGCCATGAGGCTTGCAGGATCTTAGCTCCCCGACTAGGGATTGAACCCAGGCCCCACAGTGAAAGCACTGAGTCCTAACCACTGGACCGCCAGGGAATTCCCTAACTTTCTTTTCTATTCCCTAGATGTTCTACAAGGT